TTTAAATTTTTCCTTTTTTTCCCCTGGGGGCTCCTTATGTAGTCCAGACTAGCCTTGAATTCATGGTAATCCTCTTGCCTTCATCTCCCACATGCTGGATTATAGATGATGCCACCATACCCAGCTTGATTACCTTGCTTGAAGCTTTGGGGCTCAGAGCTGGAAGAGTTATTATTTGGGAAGTTGAGCAAGAAAAGAATGAATGTTGCTAAAGCTTAAATGTTTGCAGCTTTAGTAGAGGGGGAGGAAATAGGTGGTTCTCCTATTCCAAACTAATCATATGGGTAGACGGATAACCTTACCTAAGTGGATAGTCAGGTAGGTGAGTAAACACTGTGAAGCCATTTAGTTCTTGGAGGTCACAGATTTGGACAAATGGGTGTCTGTACTAAGTATGTGCAGTAGCAAGCAAAAGAGATCCAGTTTCAATACCCAGTGTAAAAGGAAGGTAGTTGTGCATATCACCAAACATTGCAAAGAGCCAGAGTAGAGGTGCGCAGAAGTGTCTGCAGGCTCCAGATTCTGCATCTTAACACAGGATCCTTCTGTACACTTTTGGGAACAACTCTCAAGAAAACTGGACTCTAATGTGCCCACCTATCGTGTTAACCAAGGTTAGGTGCCCAATCTCGTAGTCCACAAACTACCTGGTAGGGGAGGTGTAGCTACCTGTAGGTGGAACTTGGGCCAACTCCCCAGCCAGGGTCTTCTGTGTTATTTCCTAACGTCCCATGACTTTTGAATGCATCATCCTACTTCTGCTACCTTCACACCACTCCCACTGCTGCATCTGGATGCAGGTGTAAGGAGGAGGAAGGATGTAAAGGCAACAGCAGTTTATACCAAGCTTCAGGTAGTGGGCCTTGTTCTTGTTTGCAGTACATGTCTGGTATGTACTTTCACAAATTACAGCTGTGCAGTGGTATGTACCTTTAATCATCCGAGCTACCTGGGAGGTCCAGGCAGGAGGGTCATTTATGATGACAATACCATTGTTCTAGGCAACTTAAGAAACTGTCTCAAGATAAAAAGTATAGTACAAATGGCTGGCGGTTTAGTTCAATGAGTGCTTGGTTCCATCCCCAGTACCATCAAAAATAATGAAAACACCAACAAAATCATTTTTAGACTACTGAGGACATAGTTCTTACTTAGTCTATTTGAATAGGCACATAATCTAGAAGTGCTTCTGACCTACAGCAGTAGTCTTCCTCTTCCCTGGCCTGGCCAGAGCATCCAGGACAGACCCTCACTTAATATTACAGAATTTCAGATCTTTACCCAGAAATGGATTTACACTGCTTCTTGGGGTCAGTCAGTCTGTCTGTCTGTCTGTCTGTCTGTCTGTCTCTCTGTATGTTTGTCACACACTCTCTCTTTCTGTGTGTGTGTGTGTGTGTGTGTGTGTGTGTGTGTGTGTGTGTGTGTGTTTCTTGTTTCCTTAAATGAGTCATAGCAGCTCTGTAGCCAGGTTTGGTAGCTGTCTTAGTTACTTTTTACTCATTGCTGAGACAAAATACCTAAAGGCCAAGTTGGGAAAGGAAAGGTTTATTTCTTACAGTTTTTGGAGGTTTCACACACTCAGTTGGCTCCAGGGCATGGCTGGGCCACAGTTCATGGTGGCTGCAAACAGCAAGCAGGAACAGGCAAAGAGCAAGACACACCTTCTCCCTGCCATTACATTACATCCTGGCTCCACCCCTCTGTGGGTATAGCACTGACACCATCAATCCAAGCACTAACAATAAACCATCACAAATGCACAATACAAATACTTGAAGCCTGGGGGCCCACAGACATAAACCATGACATTCCTCCCCTGGCCCCCAGGACTCTTGTACATCCTTTATACAAAAGACATTTAGTCCACCACCAAGAGTTTCCAAAGTCTTAAGTTTCAGCATTGCTGAACAGTCCAAGTCCCATGTCTCCTCCATGATCTATGGCAAACTCTTAACTGTAACCCTTGTACAAATGAAACAAGTTTAAACATTTCTCAAATGCAAAGGCACAAAATAAACATTACTATTCCAAAAGTTACAAACAGGGGAATATAAAGCATTGGAAACAAAGCAAATCCAACATCCAGCAGGATGAACATTAAGTCCTAGAGTTCCTTGCTCTGCATCTGAAGCAATATGGTTACAAGCTCCAAAAGGCTTGTGTGATTCCACCCCCAAGGCACTTCCAGGGATTTCACCTCCTGCAGCTTTTCTCTTAAATCCTCTCTGCTTGCTTTTTGGAGCTTTCCTTGGATCGTCCATATTTCTGGCTTTTCCAAACTTTTGGGGTCTCCACTGCACCTTTGGCTTCACCTTTATGTCTTCACAAATTGCCCTCTCAGGGGCACACAGCTTGGCCTCCCAGGCCCTTTGCAATAGAGGTAGAAGCCATCTTACCCTCAGAATTTGTGCATTTTCCTAGCACCTAAGATCAGCACCATGTGGATGTTGCCAAGGTTTGCTGCTAGCTAGAGCAGTACTCAGGCTTTTCTCTCTCTTGGCTGTAGGGGTCAGTTGCCTGGATCACAGGGCTCTGTTTAACTGATTGTGAGGAAAAGCTTCTCTATGTTGCCACCATTCTGGAACCTCATGTGGCCTGTCACCATTCTGGAAACTCATGTGGTCTCTGTCGCCATTCTGGAACCTGGTGCTCTGCAGCTTTCTCCTCTGAAAAAATTCTTTTACCTTTGCAGTGAGGCTGCACAGGGTGGGGACCTGCTTCCTGGGATGCCCCTGGCCCATCTTTCTTATTTCTCTGTTTTCCCTCAGCCATCAGAATCTCCACTGTCTTTACAATCCACAGCCTTCCTGAAATATTCTTTCTGGCCAAACTCACAGTATTGCAAATTATCCCGCTGGGCTCTTTCCTCTTGATTTGCAACATAAAGCTGGCTAAAAGCCCTCTACAGTAGCCATGCCACAGACTCAACATTTGATTGCTTTTTAATTTCTTTTTCAAGATTAATCAGTCCATTGCCCTTTGTTTCAGTCTCAGGCAAAGTCTCTGGACATGAGCAAAATGTAGACAACTTTCTGCCAACCCATAACTCACATCATGGGGAGTCCAACAACCACTGCAGTCCTTCTTCCCAGCAGAAATCTCCCAGGCCTGGTCTTTACCATCAGGCTTCCTATCAGCCTTCTGGTCTCCTGAGCTGTGACCACTATCTCCTCTACAGAACTGCCTAAGCTGCTCTAGCTCTATGCATCCAGGCAACACATCCAAACCTTTCCAAACTCTGCCCACAAGCCATTTCCAAAGCCATTTCTTGAAAAACATGGTAAGGTATAGTCACAGCAAACAACCCCATTCTTCGGTACCAAATTCTGTCTTAGTTACTTTTTACTCATTGCTGAGACAAAATACCTGAAGCCCAAGTTTGGAAAGGAAAAGTTTATTTCTTACAGTTTTTGGAGGTTTCAGTCCACACTCAGTTGGCTCCAAGGCAGGTGGGCATGGCTGGGTCACAGTTCATGGTGGCTGCAAACAGCAAGTAGGAACAGGCAAAGAGCAAGATACACTTTCTTCCTACCATTACATCATATCCTGGCTCCACTCTTATGTGGGTGTAACACTGACACCATGAATCCAAGCACTAGACAATGAACCATCACAAATGCACAATGAAAATGCATGAGGCCTGGGGGCCACAGACATAAACCATGACAGTAGCCTACTACTTCTTGTACTTAGGAGCACACTTCTGCTGATCTGTTTCTCTGTGAATAGCTTTGCTTGTTTCAACTAGAAAATTGTTGTTGTTGTTGTTCTTCTTCTTCTTTTTTTTGTTTTTTTTTTTTCTTGTTTCATCTGAGATAACACATTTGCTGCCTTCTCTGGTACAGTTACTCCCTGGTGATTGTTCCTGTAAGCTTAGCGGTAACTTAAGGAACTCTTAGTTGAAATTGTATATGAAACATTTTACTTAGGAACATAAGTTTCCAAAAGAAAGAAAAGGGGAAGAGAGACTGATTGACTGAGACTGACTAGGGTTTTTGTGTATCTGAAACATACTTGTCCTTTGTGTTCTAATGTCAGACTTACCATGCTTACAATGTTACTGTTTCACATAACTGTGTTACACAAATCACTTTTAGAGATGTTAGTATAGTAAAAGTGTAACTTGAGTCTTTAGAAATAAAGCATATATGAAACCTCAAATCACATTACGGAGTGCATGCAAGACTCACCTACCCACTTCCCTGCAGTACTGCCTTGGTATTGCATGAGTTTCTGTGCTGGTGATACATTCGGCATTGAAGGAGGTGTTGAATGGCTGGCTAAAGAAGAGATCAATGGGTTAAAACCACAGAATGACCCAGTGACTTATCAAGTACCCGTTTACTTAAAGAGCAGTGTACAATAGAAACTGTCCTCTGTTACTTGTTTGCTGTATTAGACGATAATCTTTTTGTGGTTAAAAGTCTGCATTACAGCTGGGAGTATGAAACACATCTATAATCCAAGCACTGGGGGAGACTGGTTACACAGAGTTTGAGGCCAACCTGGACTACATACATAGCAAGACTTTGTCTCAACATTCCCCAAACCACAACCACCCCCCAAAAACACTGTTTTTTAAAGTCTCTCACAAAATTAGGCACTGATGTCTCAACTGAGGTGTGGTTTCCTCTTCCTAGATACTGTTTCTTCATTGTTGAAGTAGGGTTTCATGTTTTCCCCTAATTGTCTTACTACCTTGGATATGAAAATTCTGCTTGAGTTTTATAAGTTGGTAGTAATTCTTCAATTCTCTGAAGTAATGGTGATTTGACTGGGAATCAAGAGAACTCTGTAGCATTTTTTATTTACTCAGGCGTTCTCCATAGTATGTGTGTGACTGTCATTACAAGGATGATGTTAATAACATTAAAACTGTAGAAGATAAAAGGAACTGAGAATATGTGTTATACTTTTGAAAATGCTCAGAGACTGTTCCATTAACTTGTTGGATGTGTAACAGTGCTTCTTTAATTTGAATGTCTTCTTTTTCACAGGCCTGAGTTGCTGGAGGAAGCCCAGAGGCAAGGCTTACCATTTTCACAGTGGGACGGGCCAACCGTGGTTGAATGGCTGGAGGTACATCCCTTTACTACAGAGACCTATGCTACATGACACAAGCTTGTCATGCATCTCCTGTCTCTACCTGATGTTCTGGTCTTTTCATTCTTCTTTCTAGCTCTGGGTTGGGATGCCTGCTTGCTATGTGGCTGCCTGCAGAGCAAATGTGAAAAGTGGGGCCATCATGTCAGCTCTGTCAGACAGACAGATCCAGCAAGAGATTGGCATCAGCCACCCTCTGCACAGACTGAAGCTGCGGCTGGCCATCCAGGAAACCCTGTGGCTCACCAGCCCTTCGGCTCCACCCACATTGAAAAAGGTATGTTCACAGAGGCTCTGTGTGCCCTCTGTGGAGGAGGAAGGCAGAGCCCACAAAAGCAGTAGCCTGCTAATGTTTCCGTGCTGCTTCCTAATCATACAGGGTGGTTTCAACTTAAAATTTCAGGAAAGCATAGTACAACCCCTAACTTGGAGGGGTTGAGTGATCCAAAGAAAATGTGTGAACTGCTTGTGTAAAAGTGTGGTTAAAGCCAGGCGTGGTGGCACATGCCTGTAGTTCCAGCACTCAGAAGGCTGAGGTGAGAGGATCACTGTGAGTTCTAGGCCAGTGGGTTACAGTGTGAGCAGCTTGAACTGAGTAATGAGATCCCGTTTCAGAAAAGACCAAAAAATAAATAATTAAATAAATGAATAAAACTTGGTTAGAAAGGCCTTCTTTAAGAAAGAAGGCTTTTTGAAAGGTAGAAAATTGATTGTCACAAATGTACGTATGAATTTATCAAAACTGAGTAAGTGTAAGGACCTCTTGAGGAAGGAAAAGTTAACATTTTAAGTAGCATTTCATCCTTGAACTTTGATTTCTATTTCATAGTTCAAACAATAATTAGTACTTGTACGGTATATAAAGGTACTTGCTAAGCAAATTATATGCGGAAAATATTGTTTTTCTTCAAGTATACAGGTAGCAAAATATACAGATAAGCCCAGGAATGTATAAACCCTTGCATACAATCCCCGGGCATAAATAAGCACCTGGCTATGGCCCCTTGGCTATAAACTAGGTTGGGCTGCCCTTACTTTGTTGTGTGTGGCTTCTTTCCTTCAGTCTTGTGCGTGTGAGTGCATCTGCATCACTGCACATATAGGCGGGACTTACAGAGTAACTGTAATTTGTGGCAGTCCAGAGGTGCCACTGACATACAGTTGACATGCTAACAAGGGGTGGTCACCTCCCAGAAATCCACTGGTTCCTGGACAGTTCTAAGCTTCTCTTCTTTGTGGATGTCTTTTTTTCCCTACAAGAACTAAAGGAGGAAAAATGCCAAGTTTCCTAGATGCACTGTGGTTGTGTGTCACGGCACCAGCAGGTGCTCTGGGTCTTGGGAGCTGCATGTGTCTGTCCAACCATGCCTGTGCTCACAAAGATGCTGTCCACTTGGGGAGTAGTGAAGAGCCCTCAAAGAGCTTCCTGGTGACTCTTCTGATGAAACATTGGTGGTTATTAGAAGGGAAGAGCAGGCCAGCTCTTAAGTTGCAAAGTTCAGGGGTTTTTCATTTAGATGTTCAACAAACTCTTAGAGCTGTGTAGACATCCTTCTGAGCAGCAGAGCAAGGTCTGCCTACAGTAACTTTATACACAAAAAAGTGTGAAGATTTTGTTGTTAGAGAATTATGAAAATGAACAATAAGCCTTTTTTTTTTTTTTTAACGTATGGCCAAAGAACACTTTCCCTTGGTGGAATGTTTTGTAACCAGTATCAGTCTGTTCTGCAGCTATTTCCACATTAATGTGGGCTTTGTAGAAATGAAGATGCTGCATGGCTTTTTCAAAGCTTTTAAGAACCCTCTTTCAAAAGGGAGCTTCTGCGATTCAGTTGAACTATTGGCAAGGACTAGACCTCACATCAGAAAGACTCTCCATATCACCAGTTACAAACACAGAAATTGCTGTTCTTGGGGAGCTTACAGTGGGCTAGCAGAGTGGCCATCAGTCTCAGGTTTGACTCAGATGGTGACAAGTGCTTTGTTTTTGGTGTTTGCATTGTTTGGCTCTCCTGTGCTCACTATCTTGTGCCCTGGCCTCCTGGGCTTCCTCTGGCTTTGGATCATCTGCTGAAAGCAGCCACAGGAAGCCAAGGCCAGAGCATCCTGTTGTTAGCCTGTGTTGGGGTGAGACTGCTTTCTGTGTGTTTTGTTTTATTCTTTTGTTTTGCTGTACTGAGGCTTAAACCTAGTGCTTTGGGAGAGCCAGGCAAAAACCCTATCATGAGCTATACCTCCAACATGGTGAGACTATTGAAAATACTGTCTATTGAATCATCAGTTACTGGGGAAAGTAACTTTTCAGAAATATAAAGTATGTTCTCATCCATACTTTTAAGCATGTGATCTGGAAATTGTGTGCTGTTCTCCTTATATTCCGACCACACTGTTATTGTTTAAAAGAGGATGAGCCTGTGTTAATGATCTCTGGCTTTCTCTGTGGGTGCCTGAAATGAAAATGTGCAAAGAGTGACCTTTGCCTCGTGGCTCCTTACTGTGCCTGTGGCTCATATGTGCGTCCTTCTCCTTTCTGTCACGCTTCCCTTGCCCTGGATGTGGCTGGTGCACTGGGGTCACCTTAGACCACAGGAAATGTCTGGTTAACACATGAAGAGATGGAAACACTCGCAGCCACATCTCAGATGGTCAGTCAGCCCTGCAGCTCATGTTCCAAAGTGGGTTTCCTACTCCAGACCAAAGGGCCCTTTGTCTTTTGTTGAAAACAAAAGTTAATTTGCATTTGTTTCAAATATAATGTGTTCTTTTTAGGTTATTAGCTCATAGCGTATAGTCGTATTTGCATTTTTTAGATTTTTACAAGAATTTAGTTTATAGATTTGCCCCATTTAGAGAAGATGTAATTTGCTTCTCCTTTTGGAGAGACCTCCATTGAGCACTGCGTTGTGGTTGTCTAACGCCAACAGTCTACTGTATGAGGTTAGTTGGCATGGAAAAAGTCTGCTCCTTGCATGGAAAATTGAAATTCTTGGATTTTCATGAGTTTTTGCATGAGGCATTGATATTTTGAATGTTTTTCACTCAGTCAAGGTGCATGTTCCCTGCAGAATTAATTTGCTTACACTACTAAAGTTCACTAATACTAATAGTTATGTTCTTTTACATTCCTAACAACCTAACATCAGGAAGATGAGGAGGGAAGCTGGATAAGGTTGGAGTCTTTCTATAATATTTCTTCACTCTGTAGCAACAAAAAGCAATTGAGGATGTAAACTTGTGTGACCTGCTTTAGTAGGTGTTTTTCACACCTTAATTTATTCATAGTATCATTAATGACTTGAAGAATGTAATCAAATAAATCACAGGATTAAAGATTACATCTCATGGATAATTTTGAACATTTCCCATATGGGATCATGGAAATTACTTTGAACGAAGGTTGTTTTATTTATGAATAGAATCTTTTATACAAAGTCCCCTGGTTTAGGCAACTCCTGAGTTTATGTACATGTAGTTCGTTGCTGGGTTAGTTTTGTTCTAAAATGTACTGCTGAAAAAAATCATGAAATACACTTCTAAACCTGAAAGTTGGCACGGGGCCTTTCCCTCTATGTCTTTATATTGTTATTTGACTAAGTACTGCCCTACTGTGTTGAGTTAAAGATCTTAGTAATGGAGTTCTCAGAAATTAAGGCTTATCACTTCACAGAGATTGAATTTCAGCTGCCTAACTCTTCACTACACAGAAAGCTCTGCCCCATGTTTTACAGTGTCTGAGTCAGATGACTTGGTTAAATTCCCAGCATCCCTCTGCCCTCTTGGGTCTTTGGTGGGCACAGTGCAGTACCAGGGGACTTGTAGTTCTTCAGCTTTTCCCAGGGGCACGGTATTCGGGGGCTCAGAAGAGTTAGCATATGTCTGAAAGCAAGTATAAATGAGTTAAGATTAGAATTTGCTGATTCCAAGATGATGCTTGAAACAGTTGCTTCTGTTTGCATTTCTAAAGGTTGTTCAGTTATAGCACTTGGTTGTTTGTTTTGTTTGTTCATTTGAAAAAAAGAGAGGTGGAACTTGGTGACACATATGGGTCATCCCAGGACTTGGGAGGTTGATCAAGCATGTTTGTTGCAAATTTGAGACCAGCATAGGCTACATAGTGAGTTCAAGGTCAGCCTAAACTACATAGTAAAATCCTGTCTCAAAATTACAAAAAGTTTAGAAACAAAAACTAAGAAGAAAGAGAATAGCTACTAACTGGGTTTCCCTCCCTGGGTTTAGATACTCCCTGCCTCTAGAATCACTTAAATTCACCTAGTTAGAGGTCTCTCTACAGGACCAACAATGACCATCAGTGAATTAAGCAGTGCATTTCATAATTACGTAAGTTTCAATATATTCCAAAAGACAAAGTAGAATATGGTCACCACTTCAATATGAAATAGCATCAGAGACATAAAGTGTAGTTGAATAAGCTTAACATTTGCTTTTTGCAGTGACCATATAAAAGGGGCCCATGCAGAAGATTCCAGATTTACCCCACATGCAATGTTCTGCAGAAGCTTGGTGCACTTTGCCACCATCCTTTCCCAGACAGAGCTGCTAGGACAGAGCTATGCTAGCACAAAGCATTGTGCTTTGCCCGTGCTGGCACTGGGTGGCCTCACTCCTGACTGAGCTTTGGAAGGAACACTCAAGTGTGGTCAGAACTGTTCGCATATCAGATGTAAGATATGACTGGCTGTGTAAGAAGGCTGTGCCAGCTGCCAGGAGCCATTAATGAGCAGGACAGCTGCAGTCCCACTCTCATGGAGCTCGCATTTTACTGACCTTGAGACTGAGCGTGACTTGTCCATGCTTGGAGCATGAGGTCCCTTTGCACACTTCTTCAGAAGGCTGTGGTGGCAGCCAGGGAGAGGAGGAGGCTCTCCCTCAAACTGAGTCTGAGCTGTCAGAATCTGCATTATCAGCAACTGCAAAAGTAGTAAACAGAGATATGGAGGGTTTGCTTCCGCACAGCTTTTTATTTGGAAGATTTCTTCTACTCATTAGAAGAGAGCATAGTCAGCAGGCCAGAAAACATCAAATATTCAGGCTGTGAATCCCAGGCCCATGAAAGTATGACTCAAAGGACTGCATCATGGTAACATTGTTAGGTATCTTAATGGTTACCATAGTGGTATATTTGTCACTCATCATTTAAAGAAAGTTATGAAATCTTTTCTGTTAGAATTGGAACATTCCTCTTAGCTGAGCCATCCCTTGTATCTTGACTGGAACAAATAAAATACTAGAGTGGAATCCATTGTTCTAAACCAAACATGGAGGCCATGCATGGTGGTTTATGACTGTAATCCCAGAACTCAGGAGGCTGAGGCTGGAAGATATCAACTTAGAGACCAGCCTGGGCCTAGTGAGACCCTGTTGTAAGGGGTTGGGGATGTAGCTCAGGTTAGAGTGCTTGCCTAGCAGGTATGAAACCCTGAGTTCAAGCCAGGAGAGGATGGATGGGAATGGATAGTTTTTATTTTAAAGGATTCCTCAATGTACCTTAGGATTCCTGTGAATGTAATTTAATCTTCCTTAGCTGGAGAGCATAACGAACCATTCTCTGTGAAGTGGTTGTATATCATGTCTATTTTTCATTGTACAGACCTTGGACATATTCTGTTGAATTGGTTGCTAAGGGTTTTATGCAGTTTAGTGCCATTATATAAGATACTTCTAAAATCTCAATTTCCAGTTCATTTTGTATATTTAGAAATGTTAATTTTTGTGTATTCATTGTATATTCAGCAGCTTTGCTAAATTCATGTATAAATCCTAATAGCTATTTCATAGACTTTTTCAACAATGATAATTGTGTCATTTACTAATAAAGAGAGGTTTATGTCTTTCTCAACTCATGCCATTTTTATGTTTTTCCTGCCATTACAGTGGCCAGGTCTCCAGCACAGCCAAACATAAACGGTGACAGTGGACACCCCTTGTGCTTCTTTCCGTTCAGGGAGACATTTGGTCCCTCATTGTGAGGTTTTTAGCTGCAGGCTTTTGGTAGATGACCCTTAATAGATTGAGGCGGTGGGTCTTTCGTCCTAGAATGCTGAGTTTCATAACTGAATGATGGATCTTGTGCCACATAAGGTATTATGAGACATGGCTTTCTTTGCTGATCTCGTAATTGGGCAAATTTCATTGATTTTTTTTTTTTCCTCCTCAGTTGGTGAACCAACCTATTCCTGAGTCAGTAAACCTACTTACCATGATTCCTTATTTTTGGTGTAGTGCAGACTAGTCCCAAACTCGAAATACTTTTGTCTCAGCCTCCTGAGTGCTGGGTTTACAGGCATGCACCACCATACCACACCACAAAAAAGTACGTCCTGAAGCCAGATGTGATGATGCACCCCTGTAGTTGCCAAAACTCAAGAGACTGAGCCCAGAAGTTGGCTGTTATAATGTCCTATGACAATTGGGCATTAAACTAAGATGGACATCATACTAAGAGTGGCATCAATATCTCTTTGCATAGGGAGTGCTTGTGCATAGCCACTGCACTCAATCCTGGTAATATAATGGGAATCTCTGTCTTTAAAGGTTGTGGGGAGGGGCTGGGGATTTAGCTCAGTGGTGCAGCACCTGCCTTGCAAGCATGAGGTCCTGAGTTCAATTCCCAGTACCCCCCCCCCAAAAAAAAAAAAGAAAGGAAAAAGTGTAAGTTATATCTGGGTCAGATTGATTGACAGTATTGTTTTTGTCCGTAGCCTTCCTGATTGTTTTCCTTTTCTTAGTCCTTTTTGGTTTTTTGATTGGCACATTGAACCAGTTGTTAAGAGAGGAGTGTTGAAGTCTTCTAAATTTAATTGTATTTTTCTGTTTTTGTTCTTAGTCTCATTAGTTGTTCATTTATCATTTTAAATTTACTTTTCCTGATTTTCAAATACACTTGTCATTTAGGAAGACAAAGTATTAAAAATAAAATCAAAACCAGCTAGAGCTCATTTGAATGATTTGAATTGATTCTTCAAACTTGTTCATGAGTCATGATCATTCTTTATTCCTATATTATTATATTGAAAACTAATTCAGAAAAGGAATTTATAGACAGGTATGATTTTTCTATAGCTTGGTAAATTGTCCTAAATGAGTCATAAAGTTTTGCCAATATGATTTCTGTTGGATAAAACTTTAGGAATTTGAAAAGGTAGGAATGGGAGATCAAATATTTAGAAATTATGAAAAGCAATGTTGTCATTCATTTAGCCTTTAAGAATGGTGTCTAGATTAAAAATCTGAACTGATGTCACTCATTTGTTGAAATCAGACACTTGCATATGGGGACATGGACCACGAGTGGATTGGCAATGAGTGGCTGCCCAGCCTGGGCCTACCTCAGTACCGAAGCTATTTCATGGAGTGCCTTGTGGATGCTCGGATGCTGGACCACCTGACCAGGAAAGACCTGCGGGGGCGGCTGAAAATGGTTGACAGTTTTCACAGGTGAGGCAGTGCAAGTGGTTCTTCCTAACGGATCAAGAGACTTCACATTGCCACCATAAAATAACCCCTTATTTTGTAAATAGGAACAGCTTCCAGTGTGGACTTATGTGCCTGAAAAGGTTAAATTATGATCGTAAAGAACTGGAAAGAAGAAGAGAAGAAAGTCAGCATGTAGTTAAAGGCAAGTACATTATGCCGGATGGATGCAGCACATGCCTGCTGCCTCCCAGGTAGCCTGGGTGATTGCCTGTTTGAAAAAGTATAGCAGCCAGCTGAGCTGGCACATACCTGCAATCCTAGCACTCTGGGAGGATATAGCAGCAGAGTCACAAGCCTAGCCCAGGCAGCTTGGACTCCGTGAAACCTTCTCTCAAAATGAAAAGTATAACAGGGCTAGAGATGCAGCTCAGTGCAAATCCCTGTGTTTATTCCTGAGTACCTCAAAAAGAAATCAAGGGCTTAGTGATAAGGCACTTGCTTACCACTTGCATTGCCCTGGGTTTGATCCCTAGGACTGAAAAAAAAAAAAGCACAAAATAATCATACATTTATCCGGGAATTACACAAATTACAGTTCCAGCTACTAAGAATACTAAGGCAGGAAGATCACAAATTCAGGGCCGACCTGGCAATTTAGTGAGACCCTGTCTCAGAACACTAAAACTAGATTTGAAAATTAGGGGTGCTAAGAATGTAGTTCAGTGAAAAAAGACTTGCCTAGCATGCTCAGGGCTCTGGCTTCTGTCTCTAGTACCACAAAAAAATAAATCAGGGAAGACTTTTAAGTGGAAACAACTGGCTTGGCATGATAACAAGAGGAGGGATGAAAAGGGGTGCCCTGAGACAGTGTGTGCTTATCTCAGTCTGTAGGCTACCCTCTTGGTGCTGGCATTCTTTCATGTAGTTTTCCTTTTGTTGTTGTACACTGTATACGCTCTCTCAGAGATGCTGCCTTATGCTATTAGATCAGAGCAAGGCAAACAAGCCACTGCCTTTTGCTTACTGGATAGAGGTTAAAACTACAGCTTTGGGAGCTTTTTCTAAGGCCTGTGGCAGCATGCAGGGCACACAGTTCTGCTCCCAGAGGGAGGGAGAGGTCAAGGCAACCAATAGCCTAGCACCCATAATTTTGTAATTTATTTATTTATTTTGAGACAGAATTTCACTAAGTACCCTGGTCTGGGATTACACCTGTGACCCTCCTGCCACAGCACCCATACTAACTGGGATTGCAGTCCTTACAGAAACCACAGAGTGTCCTGTGGGCAAAGGAAAGACATGTCAGAAACAGGCCAGGAGGTAGGAGAGGGCATGGCAGCCCCCTCAGTATGACAGGGACAGGCATTTTCTCTGAAGACAACACTGAATGTCATGCTCACGAGAGTCTCTCAGAATTCTCGGTAGTTACTAATAGCACTGCAGTGATGAGAAGAAATGAGACTTACTGAATAATGATCAAGCACTGTGTCAAGTCTTCCATAGTTGATTCATTCAGGCTGCATCGTGGTTCTGTTATTTTCATCCTCATTCTGATGTCTTTTTCTAAATAAAATAAAGGATTATCTATTGGCCAGGGATGTAGCCCTGTGGTAGGACACTTGCCTAGTCTGTGCAAGGCCTGGGTTTTAATTCTTTTAAAACAAAGAATACGTTGAGGTCTATTTAGAAAAGAAAGTCATGGCCGGGGATATAGCTCAACAACAGAGCGGCTGCCTGGCAAGTGCAAGGTCATGAGTTTGATCCCTGGTACCAAAACAAAGTTGAGAAAAAAAATCAGACATGAAATGTATTAATCCATTTAATTTGTTTTCTATATCCCCTCTCCATATTTTGTCAGTTGGCAAAAGCAGTCTTTGAAAAGATTGGTGGTCAGATATATTTTTACAGAGTGGCAATTTTTTGATCTGTAATAGAATACATTTAATAATTATCTTTGTATGATATACGATTGCCAAAATCTAATATGCTGGAATGTCTTTAAAATTCTTTCTTTGTAATATATTAAGATGTTGATATGACCAAAGCTTCAGAAGCACAGGGGCTGGGGTATGGCTCAGTGGCTTAGCACCTACCTGGTAAGCACAAGGCTCTGAGTTTGATTCCCAGTACAACAACAAGAAAAAGTAAAAGAAAACGAAGGTCAGAAGGTCAGAAGCAAAGAGTTTGTGTTGAACTCAGCAAGGTATCTGAACTGTCATGGTATCTGCCCCTTTCATGATGGAGAAGCATTTCAGGAGACTCTGGGGTCTGTGTAGGAAACATGCTTATACGTGCTAGGTCTGACTCTGACCCTCAGCCTGATGTTTTTGCAGTCTTAGGATTGAACCCCAGGCCTTGTACATACTAGGCAAGTGATCTGCCACCAAGCTACATCCTCAGCCAATCATGCTGTATTGTTCCCTGAATATATCCTATCCACAATCTTACTGTGACACCTGAGTGCACTAGGGGAGGCTTCTAAAGGGAAAGTTTTTATTAGAATGAGGCAGAACCAAAACAGCTGTGTCTAGGTGTGTGTCTGTCAGTATTTGTGAGTGTGGAGTCCATTTTCAGGAGCTGAGGGATCAAGATCCATGCTAGGAATCTTTCCCCTGCATTGCAGGACATGTATGATGAAGAGGTTTTCTGAAGCCACATTTACAGTTGTTTTGTTCTTTCACAGATGTGCTTGTTTGGAGCAATGATCGAGTGATTCGCTGGGTCATATCCATTGGCCTTAAAGAATATGCAAACAACCTCATAGAGAGTGGGGTTCATGGCGCACAGCTGGCCTTAGATGAAGCCTTCGATTACAACACATTGGCCCTGTTGTTACAGATCCCGACAGAGAACAGAAAGGTGACAACGGAGTCTGTGCCTCTGTCTGCTTAGCCACAGTGTTCGGTTTTTCTGTGGTTCTAGAATACTTATTTTTCATTTGAATGGAGAGAAAATTTAACTCTAGACAACTAGTAATCACTTTCCATAACTAATCTATAATATGGTAGTTCAAAATAAGCAAATGCTTGATTTTTCACTATCTTTTCTTTCCAGTTTGTGTTGCAAGCATGTGAGTCTTTGAAGTCTTTGTTTTAAAAAATTGTAATGTGTAACATCCTTCAGATATATTTAGTTGTTGTTTTGTTACTTCAGGCTCGAAATGTCTTGGACAAAGAATTTGCCGACCTTTTGGTCCTTGGGACTGTCAGACGTTTTGATGTTGTAAGTTTTCAGCTTTTTTCTCCTCTCACTGCTAGGAATCAACCTCAGGGCTTCACATATGCCAGTTGAGTGCTCTACTACTGATCCTTGCTCTTGGTCCACTACTTAATTTTTGGCAACCTTCAAAAATTATTTCTATATTGTCAAACAGATTGCAGCCTGCGATCAAAGTCTTAAGTTGTGTTTTGGTGACAGCTGACTGTCCTGCCCCAGTTCTTCTGTTTGGAAGGTTTCTTTCAAAAGTATATTAAATTTCCCCTCATGCTAAATCATAACTAACCTGTTGCCATACATTACGATTGTCTTCAGTGAGCTCCAAGAGTACTTGATTTTCACAAAGAAGATGGAAGCTGAATCTGGAAGCAAAGCATTTGTTGGATTATTTGTAGCCAGAATATTTTGAAAATAAATAAAAGTACATTATATAGCAGGCAAGAGCTTGTCCACAGTAAGAAATAAAATATTCTGATGGGTGAGAAAATCACATCCCTGGTGCCCAGGACTGCCCTCGTTTCTCCAGTTGGGGCCCAGCAGGAATGTAATCATGTTTCCTCTCACACTGAAGTTCCAGTGTGTGCAGCACATTGGAAGGTCACCAGGAAAGGCTAAGTAAAGCAAAACAGTCAGGGGCTTAGGAGTCCTTCTGAAGGACAGTTATCTTTATTAGAGTGTGCCTGTTCTGTGTTTTCATTTGCCAGGAGCATGACAAACACTTTAGGAGAGCACCTTCATGGAGAGAGAAGGTTAGAGAAAAGGCCATTCATGGCGTGGCAACTGGGTCATCAGAGACACTCCCTGCAAACTTCCGAGTCTCTTCTTCCAAGTCTTCCCACTCTGTGCAGCCCAATGAGATCCAGATGGATGGTATGTGGTGGGCCATGTAATGCAACACTGGCTGGGAGCATGTGCGCGCTAATAATTACCTAGAGTGGCCATTGTATGTGTTACAAAGCATCTGAGTTTGGTTGCATGCCCAGGTGTCAATGGTTCAGGATTAGCCCTAACATTTGTTGGAAAATGGTTAACAACAATAATAGAATTTTTAAAAAATCTGTCTGGTTGAACCTTAGCATCCTTGCCCAACTAATAAAGTGGAGCACCCATCTGTGCTCTCAGGGCTGAGGCTGATGCACCTGTGGGGTGCAGTGTGTGGCAGGCAGCACTGGCTTGCCAGGAAAATTGCAGTGTGACACTTGGGACTTCTCTCCACACTAGAAGAAATGGCAGAGTAAACTTTAGCTCACAACTTCCAGCTTCTGCCAACTCTGTCTTTCCTTTTCCCTTCCCTCCAGTGTTATCTTTCCATATACTTACCTTGTGCCACCTGAAGAGGGACAGGGAAGAAGGCAGAAGCCTTGTGGAGACCGCTAGGGCAGCCCTGCTGCCTTCTCAGTGAGAGATGGCAAGGCATTGACCTTTCCAGTGCAGTCGGGATGGCCCTTATGTAACTGCTGACTGAAGAGTGCAGTTGGCTGAGAGGAGACCTTGAGTCCCTGCCCACCTAGTAAAAGGCACTGATAGGGTCCTGAGAGAGCCCACATCCACATCCAGCTCTTGTGGTAGCAGGGACATGACCTTGAGCAAGTCATGCAGCTGTGCTGTGCCTCAGTTTCCATATCTGTAACTTGGGCATCATAGTAATGTGATTTTGATGCTTCAATGTGTCATGTGGGTGAAGCTGATGGAGTCCTGAGCCTCGTGCATTGCTGACAATCTCAGTGTTAGGTGGAGACTTCATTCCTTCTCATTCCTGATGTACATGGTTGTGCTGTATAAACTGTACCAGTGGGGTTGTTACAAGTTTCCTGTTGTTAGCCCCCTGTGTAGGTAGTTTTCCTTTTTTCTCTTTCTTGCCTGTATGAAAATCAGAGAAAAATACATTTATATAAACTTTTTAAAGCTGAACACTTTCCAGTGTGTCTTTTAACTAGTAAGTTCTTAAGAATTAACACTTTCTCCCTCAAGGTGTCTTACAAATGTTGGCAAGGCATGGAAGTGCATGCCTGTAATTCCAGTACTTGGGAGGCTCAGGCAGGAAAATCATGAATCTGAGATGTATGTGAATCATAAATCCAGGTTAAGGCTATACTGAGCTTCATAGGAAGACCTTGTATCATAAATAAAATAGATAAGTAAGTAAGCTGTGACGGGCCTTGAGCTTAATTTCCATTGGCTTACTAAATAGTCTAAATGAGTACTCTGTTGTTTTCCCTGTACCTTCAATTTCTGTTTCACTATAAGAATCACATTTTCTCTCTGAACATTGCAAGCAATATTAACATAGCTGGGTGTGGAGATCACCTGTAATCCCGGCACTGGGGAAGCTAAGGCAGGAAGGTTGCTGAGAGCTCAGTACCAGCCTCGAATTCACAGGGATTGTAGGGCCAGTGTGAACTACACAGGGAGACCTTGTTTCAACAAAACAAAACAAAAATAAAGGGTAGTATTAATGAGTCTGTTTGTTGTTGATTTGTTTTTTTGGAGGCATTTTTGTGGTTGTGGTTGTTGTTTTGGGGTTTGGGGTGGTACTGGGGAGGGAGCCTTCTACCTGTACTACACACCACCCCTTCTTTTATTATCCAGAAAGGGTCTTGTTAAATTGTCCAGGCCTGGTTTGAACTTGGAGTTTTCCTGCCTCAACCTCCCAGAGTGCTAGGATTACAGGCATGTGCAGGCAAACTGTGTAACACTAAATTTAAATGGATTGAATAGAAAAAGTTGTCAGGGTAAATTACATAGAAGATGTCTATGCCACATTGGTAAGAAGGTGGACTGTTACAAATGACTTGCGAGGTGGAGAGTATAAGATAAATTACAGCATGTCTCCTAGACTTTAGAATGAAGGTTTACAATGACTGCCCAGTCTTACCAACACGGCCAGCTATCTGTCTTTTCTAGAGCTATGGCAAGATGTTGCTAAGAAGTATTCCTGGTATACTTGCAGGAAAACAAAACACTGTACAACTGGGAGTGTAAATATCTGCAGAAGATGTTGCAAGCTCTTTACCCAGTTTGTGACAGGGCTGTACTGCCTGTTTAGCCACCCAGTGTTTGTCAAACAAGGACCCCTGCCTCCGTGTTCTCCATCCTTTTTTGTAGAAACTGAGACAAGCTTTAGTCTTCTGAGAAGCACTGGCCATGGCCTCTGGGCTGTGCCTCTTTGCCTGCAACCCACCCTGAGAGCAGTGCCTGCAGAGCAGCTGGGGTTCCCTCCTCCCCTTCGTGCTGCTGATTCACCCCATTCATTCCTGGAGGTCTAGCTGTAGGGCACAAGGAAAAGTCCAGTTGCTATATCAAAGTGTGGCTTAAGGAGCTGCAGAGTAGCTATGTTAGGTGGTTGTCCTTTCTGTATGTGCACACTGAGGTGGTTTGCACTTCCAAGGGGCCCTATTGCTATTTTAGGTGCCAGTGTCCCCTTGGGTGGTGACAGAACCACTCTGGGCAGCCCTCTGATGCTCTTGCCTCACTCTCCCAGGCAGTCTTAGGATTCCTCAGTAGACACCATTGTAGGTGTGGAGATGTGTGTCTTACCTGTGCCCCGTGTGAAGTGTTAAAACTAACAGCACTTTGTTTTTGCACACTTCCTCTCATGGTTGTTGGAACAGGCAGTGTATCAGAAACACAGAAGTTGGATTCTGCGACAGTCAGGACTTCCTCCCGTTAAGCCTCCTGTTGGTGAGTAGAGAGCAGCGTAATCCCTGGAGATCATCCCTGTACAGCAGGGTGAAGCTGTAACAGGGCTAACAGTGTGGGTTTAGACCATGCCAATTTACATGGGGATCTTCAAAATGACAGAAATAGTAGCTCTGTACCCATCAAGGCGATTTTGGTTTTTAGCTGACCATAAAGAGGGCTGTGTGTCATTTTTGTTCTGTTAACTTTTATTTTTATTAGTAAGTTAGTTGTACTTAAATTCATCATGGAGAGTTGGTACCTGTACTAGGACATCTTAAATCTTTTTACCTCCCCTCTCCTGTGTCCTTGTGTCTCCAGTTTTAAAGAAAAACACGTTCGTCCCCATTTTTTCCTAAAAGCTAAAAATGCCTACTCACTTGAAGTGATGATCTGCTGATGCCATTGTTGGGGGGTGGGCAGGAAAGCAGCAACTGAGGAAAAAAGCACCCCAAAAGCTGACCACACCAGGAGGCCAGAGCCTGAGATTGGGAAGCATCTCTTCCACTGTGTTTATACACAGTGGTACACAGCTCCTATACTGGCTTTGTTACAAACACACATGTACGCACACATATATGGGGAATTGAACCCAGAGTGTTCCCACTGTGCTATATCCCTAGCACCCCATCCCCTTTTTAGTGGGGACAGGGTCTTCCTAGATCATCTAGTCCTTGTTCAAACTTGCAATCTTTCTGCCTCAGCCTTCTGACATACGGGATTGCAGACGTGCCACCATACATGGCAGACATTTTAAACACAAAGCTGCATTGCCATGCCTGGGCGCCAGTGAGCCACTTGTGTCCTCATGGTCTAGAGCTCTGACTGACTGATGGCAGAGGTGTCATTGACCCGTGATCAGAACCCCAGCTGGAGCTCTGCCTACTGTGCTTGTGTTCAGTGCCTCAGCTGGAATCTGGGATGGGCTCCATAGTCTTTTAACTTTAACTTTTAAAACTGTCACAAAATGTAAAACCTCTCTATTCCATGAGCAGGGTCCTCAGTGTTCTGCCTGCTGACGCTCCAGCAGGGAGGAGGCAGGAGGCCTGGGGAAGTGGGCCCCAGCGTGTGTGTCTGAAGTCATGGTCCTTTTCCAGGTGGTTTGTGTTAAGAGAGGCTTTCTGTTTGTTTTTATCTTCCAGTTTTCCTGCACTACTTCTACAGATGATGTGCAGCATTTGGAATCCAACAGAGACTACATTTTTTAATTCAGTCGAATCGCTATCTGTTAATACTTGTTATATGGATATTTTATAACAGAGTTTTTAATTAATAAAAAATTCATCAATAACATAGAGAAAATATTTTAGAATTTAATGTTTCTTCTATTTTTGTAAACTTAGGACTTTTCATTTATATAGTTACTTACTTTTTCATCTATGTTTAGATATCTCTGGAAGCAATTCATGTTCTTATATCTAATTTTAGTCTTTCAAATGAATGTACTGTAGTGCTTGTATGTATAAACCCTATGAACAAATACACGGCTTTTGTAAATTGTGCACATATTGTAATTATTACTATTTAACTTTTTAATGATAAGCCATCCCTGAAAAAATTAGTTTACTACACTTTTTTTTGTCTTTTTTGTTTTTATCGGTACTAGGGATCAAACTCAGGACTGCCTGCTTGCAAGGCAGGTGCTTATGCCACTGAGCTAAATCCCCAGCCCAGTTTACTACATTTATAAAATTGTTGTGACATAAGCAATGTGCATTATCCTTCACCTTGCTCTACATCAGTCATTTTAAAATCAGGAGACTTCATTCCAAGCAGTTGTCATATTTTGAGGTTGATTGACCTTAACTGTTCTTTTTTTAGCAAGAAATCAGAGTCTAATAAAGTCGGGACTGAACCGTTGCACCAGAGCACTATAGAACTTTCTTAGCACTGGTTCCCTTTTCCCCATCCTGTCTCTGGACTTGGGGAGCTTGTCTTCAGAGACTTGACCAGAAGCCATGAGCTTGGAGCTGCTCTCAGCAGGGCTGGAGTGGCCAGGGGTGGACCCCAGCCTGGCACCTTCCCTGCCTCTTTCCTGTGAGCATGTGGAAGGTGCCTCCAGCTATTCTTAGAGGACCAATCACTGAGCGCTGTGCTCACATCTCACAGACATTGGTGCATGAGCAGATGAGAGCAGGAAACCCTGAAAATAAAGTTGTACAACTCTAACTAATCAAGGCCTTATTTTTCATATGTCAGTCACCTTTTTACATTGGTTTATAAACATGTTTCAACTAGTCATACATTTTTAGATTTTGATGACATAGCCATTTTGGATTGAACAAGTAGCAAAAGCAACTTGCTTTTCACTGGCATATTAAAAAGCCAGCAAGGAAGGAGTCAGATCAGGGTGCATGTTATTTATTGTGCAACTGATACATGGGTAGAGGCAGCATGCCTTTTTAATTTAGTTTATGCAGGGGCTGGGGATTTAGCTCAGCGGCATAAGCGCCTGCCTTGCAAGCAGGCCGTCGTGAGTTCAATCCCTGGTACCGATAAAAACGAAAAAGACAAAAAAAAAAAAAAAAAAGAAAAAAGAAAAAAAAATAATTTAGTTTATGCATACAATTCACTTGTACAATCCATATTACTGCCCTTTTTCTATTAATTTTTGTGGAATTTTCTGAGTATGTAACAAAGTATACAGTCATATACATATATATACTTTTGAACTATTTTAATCACAGTATTATTTATTGCTTTCTTTCAATAAAGTTCTGAATCATTTTTCACTGCCAATGAAGAGTTCTTTGAATAGGCCAAGATTTTGTTAAAAGTTAAGTGCGGCTGGAGTGTGTGTGTGTGTGTGTGTGTTACCAGACATCGAACTCATAACCTCATGCTTGCCAGGCAGGCACTCATGACACTGAGCTAAATCCCTGTCTCAGGCACAGCTGTTTTGCTTCCTGCTCCAGGCAGGTTCTCTGAAGGTAGTGTCGCTATGGAAATCACCGGACAGAAAGCTGGATGACATAAGTGTAGCTGGGCATGAGGCAAGAGAAGATGGGGTCCTGCTGAAGATTGGGCCTGGTTAGACCAGGGCGGGGAGGCGCCCCCAGCACAGTTGGGGGTGGGACACTGACAAGCTCAGCTTTGCCTGCTGTGTCAGACCCTTTGTTCATACAGTGTTACCCTCCTGTTTTCAAGTTTCACATGGTGCATCTCAGAGTAATCATGGGTTTGAGCTCTTGGTTCTCAGCCTTTTTCCCTGCAAACTGTGTGTTTTTGAATGGGGTTTGCAGAGCAGAGAGAAGAGGCCAGACTCTCCAGCGTTCCTTGGTGTGTCCCTGGGTGGTAGGTGAGTAGATGGTCCATATCCTAGTGCTATTGCTGCTGCTATTCTGGACACCCACATATCAATGCATTTCAAATATCCCACATGCATTTATGTCTCATTTCCTGGCCTTAATTCCCTAGTGACAATGATTAGTCAGTGATTTTGCCTTCCAGTCATCTGTCGTATTTCATGAGGGAATTTACCCCAAGGATCCCAAGAGCCATGGCTGCTCGGGCCCTGGTAGAAAATACATCATATTTGTAGAACCTGCATGTGTCCCTGCATAGATGCTTTGTGTCCTCTCTGGATAACTTACACTTAATACAGTGGCAATGCTATGGGAATAGTAGTTTGCTCTTTAGGAGATACAAGAAAAAACATCTGCATGTATTCAGTACAGATACAATGTCCCTCACCAAGGTGCTGGAGGTGGAATCCAGGGCCTTCACACTAAGCTCTGTCCCCCGCCCTTTGTATTTTGAGGCGGTCTCAGTAAGTTGCTAAA